AAATCCTTCATTTATTAGATTCAAAATTTTGTGACTTTATAAAGGTTGCCTTCCTCTCCTAAAAAAATAAATGACACATCTTTGAACGTTGAACTTTAGCCTGTATGGTGGTGGGGATAGTTAATGGCCAAGTGAAATAAATATACAGGTTCATATTTTTTTTTCTGTACCAGTTGATGCCAACAACTGTAACCTCATAAGCGTTTATGGGCTTCTGTCTTTGTAGTAAGTCTTATTTACTAAGTAGTGAGTGGTTTGGGTATGATCATCATCTTTACTTCAGAATTTTGAGTTTTTGTTTTAGAAATTTGACCCTTTTAAAATGGTAGCTTTTAATTCTTGTCAACAGGTTTGCATCATTTATGGAGAAATTAGCTTATTAAGTCATTAACTCTCTTTCTCTCACACAGGTATGGCATAGATGTACGAGGTGGAACTTGACTACATTTATCATTTACTTACCATATATACTCATGTAGCATGCAACCTTTGAAGGCCTAATTTTGAAGTTAATTTGACCACAGCAAATGGATATATGGTTTGGTCAATTGTGTAGGTAGGACCAGCAGTACATATGCTAATTTTATCTCTCATGTATGATGCGACCCCCTTAAAATTAGCTTTAAAATTAGGTCTTCAAAAGCCACATGATACATGAGTATATATGGTAATTGACTTGCCTTTGTTGGCTATTGTTAAAGAGATATCATTTCTTGAAATAGAAATTTCCTTATTTACATGCAGACTATTGTCCTCATCTTTGTTGTCATTATCACGTTTCAACCAGCCTTGTTTTTTCCAGTCTTCATCAGGTGTATATTGATCCAAATAATCTACAGGCAATTCCCAATAGCCTAGTGTTTGTGAATTTGGTGACATAGTAATTGTGAGTTCAGTCTCTGGGCCAGGCAGTGTGTACTTGGATCCAATGGAATCAGGGTGAGCAATAACTGAGCAGTACTAAAAATAAGAACTAGACAAAATGTACATTATTTACATTGTTTGGACTATTGTCCTCATCTTTGTCGACATATTTATTACAATGTTTTGGCCGTTGTACGCTCCGGCCTTCTTCAGGTAGTTGGAATGTCAAACTTAACCCTTTCTTTTGCTCACTGGGGTAGACTATTCTAGTTCCACGTGCCATGTTTAATGGATGTCAGTTATCTGCTGTTAATTTCCCTCTGAAAGTTCTCCACTGCCTTAACCGGGTATTGAACTCACACTCTTTGGGTCCTGTCACTGAATCTAACCAGCGCCTTTATCCACTGTGCCATGTGTCCTTGAGTGTTCCAACCACCTGAAGAAAGCCGGAATGTACAACGGCTGAAACATTGTAATAAATATGGCGACAAAGATGAGGACAATAGTCCGAATAATGTAAATAATGTACATAATACCTCATCTCAGAAATATAGACATAGACAAAATGTCTCCAGACATGTGCAGTAGAATAAGAACAATCTATTCCTGTAGATTAAATCAAGGGTTTACTTTGGAATTCCTTTGAGGTTATCCAGATCAATATACATTTGATGAAGGCTGAAGGGTACAATGGCTGAAACATCGTGATAGCAACAAAGATGAGGACAATAATTTATATGCAAATAGTGTAAATAACTCCTCATACCAGAAATTTTCATTTTCTTACAACTTGTATAAGTTGCTTTATTGGATAGCATCACTGTAGTATTTTATCAATAGACAAATGCTATTTTGGAAAAGCCTTCATTTTGTACCTTGATTTTTGTATTTATCTGTCTATATGTCTGAGATGAGGTATTGTGACTATTTACACTGTTCGGACTGTTGCCCTCATCTTTGTCATATTCACAACGTTTCGGTTGTATGCTCTGGCCTTCTTCAGGTGATATATGTTGGAATACCTGGCCACAACAGAAGTAAACAAAATTTTGTTAAGTTACTAAAAGGAAATAACTGAATCTGAGATATCCAGAAAAAGCATGGCATATGGAACTATCCCCGTGGACTAAATAAAGGGTTCGGTTCGCAATTCCAGCTTGAAGAAGGTTAAATGTGAATATGACAATAAAAATGAGAACAGTCCGAACAATGTAAATAGTATATTTATATAGCTTATTCTTTATTCATACTTGCCATTTCTGTATGAGACCTCCAATGGTCTGCTCTTGAATTTTTCAAATTCTTTACTACAGAACTCTCGGTTTTTGTACTGCAAATCTGGTCATTTTAATATTGTAGTCTTGTCAATTGGCTCACAGTGTTTGTGGGAATGGAATCAATATATAACATGTCACAGATGTGCTATGCTCAATGTTTATTTTTTTTTTTTTTATATATATTTTGGGAAATGACGACACACTATTGATTGGAATTGTGATTTTTAAAAATAGACTACTGGACATGCCAGTAGAATGGAATTATGTGGGTCATTTGTTAAAAAAACGAATTAACTGAATAGCAAATCTGGGTTATGTAACAGATGAAATTATGGTTGGTGCGTTGCCTTCACACTTAAATTTGTTTATAAGCTTGCCTTAAAAATGCAAACATACACAAGTAGAGTTTTTTTTTTTTTTTTTTTTTTTTTTTCTTTTGTCAAAAATAAAGCTCAAAGTTTAGCTCATTTATGTTTTACTTGGTTTTTTTATTCATTTTTTTTTTTTTTTTAATTTTAAATATGCAAGAGGGTGTATCTGGAAAAAAAAAAATTCTGTTAGACTTGTAATAAATTTTATTCGGATATATCTGTGTAACAAGATAAAGATTTTCTTTTATTTACTTTTCATAAATTTATCTGTTCTTAAACCAGTAACAGATTTCATGGTGCTTATACACACACAAACACACACACACACACACATTTATGAAAAATGCATGAAAAAAATGAAATAAAAGGATTCAAAGTAAGGCTTCCATACGTGAATGAAATGGTGGTGATTTATTTATTTATAGCTTTTTTTTTTTTTTTTTCTTTTAAATAAACTGAAAGTTAAGTAAATAGATCTATTATTAAGCAAAACTAATTGGATAATTTTTATTTTTTTTTTTTTTTTTTTTTTTTAAAATGAACAAAACATCAAAATGTATCAACTTTACTTCTTTCCCTTTCCTCCCAAGCTGTGATATAAATCTTATTCTTAGGACAGGAAATGGCTCTATTTGAATAACAAAGCAAATTAATTATAAAACCCATCAACAAAACAATTGCTTATTTATAAAAATCACAAAAAAAAAAACAACATTGATGAAAAATAAATAAATAGAAAAGTTATTTAAAATAATAATTTTATTTTATTTTCATTTGTTTTTTAAGCTGAGTATGCAAATTAGTTATCTTGATTTGGCAAGAACTACGAAGTTGGTCAACATATAAGATGCTAGTTGATAAACTACATTTTGTCAAAATTTAAATTAATTTTCAGAGGAATTGAGTGAGTGTGTATACATATACACACACACACAGGGATGCTGAAAAGTTTTTGATGTGATTTGTTTTCCAAAATCGGGTAAAATAACCAAATATCAGAATTTTTTTGTAAAGGACTTCTGAGATATGTAGGCTTATAGCCATATGACATTGAAACACTTGTTTTTGATCATTGAAGTTAAACTATGTTAAGCCTGGTCAGTATCTAGATGGGTGGCCACTTGGGAATATCAGGTGCTGTAAGTGTGGTAGTGTAATGGATAATGACTTGAAATTGGTAATTGGAGAGCTGAATTCAAGTTCCAGTTTGGTTCATTATATTCACTTACACACCTGGGGAAGGTATGAATCCACCTCTTCTCTCCCCACTCCCAATCTATGTGTTAATTAGTTAGACTTGTATCTGTAAATCACTACTATCTCCAAAAACCTCATTCCATCTAAAAATATTTTCTGGCCTTAAGTAACCTACAATGGGTTGATATACCATAAAGAATAAATCAGTCAATCAATCTTAAATATGCAGAAATGTTTTCAACATTCACTTGTATATGGGTACACATACCTGATTTTAAAAAAAAAAATTCAAGGCAGGTGCAACACTGATCCTTGTCAGGTCAGAGTGATACTTTGATTCAAGGCAGTTTTGCTCCCTAAAATTGCTAAATAACATACTATTTACCATTGAATAATGATGGAGTTTGGTTTAACAAGTTTTAACGTAAAATTCTTTTTCTAAGAACCCCCTTCCTACCCCAATCTATAATGGTTCATTATATGGAGGTGGGTGATGTAAAAAGGTTTTCTCTCTCACACACACACACACGCTTCTTATTACTTTTAGGTTGAGTCATGAATAATTTCCATTTCATTTACCAACTTTATTCTTGAAAAAAGTAAGTGCAATTACATTTTATTCAATCCTATAATAACCATTATTTGAAATGACTTGTTATTTATCAAGCAGCTCTTCAATATCCTTTAATCGAAATTCCACAGGTTTTGATGTGAAAGTTTTTGACAAAATCTTGCATCTGGTTTTCATTAGAGAAGATTTTTTCCCCGATCAAAATGAATTTGAAACTGAGGAAAATATGAATCTGAAAGTTGGTCCCTCTAATTTTATATGCAAATAAACTATTTTTGGTTTCATTTTACTGTTTCCTAATACTTTAGATACTATGGGCTCTTAAATAGCTTTTCAGATGGTTTACAAATTATTTTTTAACTGAACATAGAAACTAAATGAATATTAAAATAAGTATTCTACTAGATTATTTTAAATCAAATCAAAGTAGTGAAAATGCATCAAAAGTTGTTCATGTTAGGCAATTTTATATATACTGAAATAAAATACACAAGTTAGGCAAAAATTGCATTAAAGATATTTCTATTTATTTATTTATTTATTTTCAAGGAAGTATTTTAATAAATTCAACATGAAAGTGTTATTAAATTTCAATCACTAGTGGAAATTCAAGATATTTTTAAAATGTGGCATATCAGGTATTCAAATTCTATTTCTGTTTTTAGTGGGTTTATACAATAGGCACAACCAGAAATAATTTTTTTTTCACATTGCTTTCAGTTAAGCAATTCAGATTATAAATATCAAAATCATTATTCCTTTTTTCTCTCTCTCTCTCTCTCTTTTTTTTTCTTTTTCTTCTTTTTCTTTTTTTCTTTTCTTTTTCTTTTTCTTTTTTTCTTTTATTTTTCTTTTCTTTTTTTCTTTTTTTCTCTTTCTTTTTTCTCTCCTTTTTCTTTTTTTTTCTTTTTTTTTTTGTCTCTTTTTTTTTTTGTTTTTTTTTTTTGTCTCCTCTTTCTTTTTTTTTGTCTCCTCTTTTTTTTTTGTCTCCTCTTTTTTTTTTTTGTCTCCTCTCTTCTTTTTTTTTTTGTCTCCTCTTTTTTTTTTTTTGTCTCCTCTTTCTTTTTTTTGTCTCCTCTTTCTTTTTTTTTGTCTCCTCTTTCTTTTTTTTTGTCTCCTCTTTCTTTTTTTTGTCTCCTCTTTCTTTTTTTCTCCTTCTTTTTTTTTGTCTCCTCTTTCTTTTTTTTTGTCTCCTCTTTCTTTTTTTTTGTCTCCTCTTTCTTTTTTTTTGTCTCCTCTTTCTTTTTTTTTGTCTCCTCTTTCTTTTCAAGATAATGACTAGTCCATTTTGCCAGGAAAATTCATTATAAATTGATTCCCCCCTTTGGAAGACAAAACTAAATATATTCATATCACAAATTTTTTTTTGTAATTGATAGTAATATATGAAAAACAAACTCCACATTATAAATGAAAAGAAATGTTTTATTTTTTAAAAAAATTATCTTAAATTTTAAATTTCATGGTATTGAACATATTTTGTTTTGCTTAATGAAGGGGGTATCTACAATGAATTTAATTTGCAATTTGGTCCTCTCTTCCCAAACTTCATAAAATTTAATTAATTTGTGCTTGACTAACTACATATTTTTTTTTTTTTTTTAATGAATGAAAATTATTTGTATGTGTGAATGTTCTCCAGTTCTGTTGTTACAGCTGTACTGGATGGTATTGGAAAGTTCTCAGACTGTACTGGGATTGACCAACTTTTTTGATGAGGGCCGGATGTTACAATGGCTAAAACATTGTGATAACAACAACAAAGATGAGGACAATAGTCCACACGTAAATAGTGTGAATAAGAAATGTCTTTGCAGCTAACGCTTATTGGTACTATCCTTACCAAATCAGCCTGCAACTATTCTTTGTGTTAATCCTCACCATAGCCGACAAAGTCAAGCAACTTGTCTGCATTAAATTTCACATGAAGCTTGACAGATCTACTGCCAAGACGTAAGATATGTTGAACACAGGCTTTTGAATGGCATGCAAGTTTAATGGTGTATCAAGTATTGGTTTAACATGATTAACATTCTGGGTGAGCAGGCTGACAACAGAATTCCAGAAAATGTGGATAAAAAAAAAAATTGAACTCTCCTATTATGACTGTTGTCAAGCATTTAACTTGGTCATATGATAAGAATTACTTCTGGAATCTGCCAGGAGATCCTTGCTGAAAACCTGAACCTGTTGTTGGGGTCTTCACAAGCACTTGACATTCACTGGGCTATGAAAAACTTGTTTGGATCAATGTATACATTTGCAAGAGGATTATTTATAAGGGGATAGTTGCATTGAGATAATATATGAAATATTTATTGGAATTATGGTGTGTATTTTTAGACCTACTTCAGGAATTTTTCACTACCAACTTGTATAAAGTTAGCATACTTTTGTGATTTAAATGGATTTTTGATCACTGATGTCAATCTTGGTAAAGTCTGTGTGAAAACCTGCAACTTTGTTTATGTCTGTAGCTTCAGTTGCTCTATTAATCCGTTTAAGAAATAGTAAGCTCATAATGTGTGTCTGTGAACTCACATGCTTTAGTGCACAGCCAATACAAATAATGCTTAACTTTTTTTTTTTTTTTTTAAATAAAATTCTTGGTAACTGAGAGCAAAAATTAAAATGTAGTCTTTTTATATTGAGTAGGAATGTGTGGAAGTGTATTTTATTTATATAATATATATAATTTTTATTTTTTTTCTCTGCCCTTCAATGGGGTTATCCTAATCCTATCAGAAGACAGAAAGTCATTCTCTCCTGTTGATTTCTCCATGAGTTTTGATTCTTGTAGACTTTGGCATTAGTGTGGCCGTATTTATTTATTAAAGAGACTTATTTATTATATTTGTATTATTTTGAACAATTGTTCTCATCATGATTGAGATAGATGCTAATATGGGATATCTGTTGATTATTGTTTATTTTGCCCTGATGGTGTCAGTTATTGGTCTTTCTTTGTGAATTGATGCTTTGTTACCTGATTCAGGGATTGAACTCATGACCACTAGATGATAACACATGTATAACAAATTTCTAAATCCCACTCATTATGCCCTATTTCAAAATGTGTTTTTGAAACTTTTTTTTTTTTTTTTTTTAATAACCAATGTCAGGTGGTTTTTGACATTTGGTTAATTGACAGATATCTCATAGCAAGCCAGACAATGGACACCTGATAATGATCAGAGGGCACTTTGTTGAAAGTCTATATCTTTATTAACCAAGATATAATACCAGTATATTGGCAATTATACATTTCTGAAATGAAATACTAAATTGATTTATTATTATTTATGAATTTCCAGGGATGTATTAGGTATGTGTAAAAGTTCCAAAACTTTTTCCTTTGAAAATTAGGGCAAATGTGTGAGTGAGAGATGGGTTGTCACTAAAAGTTTTGCACATGGTTTAAGAATGTGTTCTTCACATTTGTGAAGTAGCTTATTGTTGAGTCTTTATGTAGCCAAGATTTTAGTTCTCAAGTGAAAACCACCACAAACCTCACCTGTTCTGCTCTTTGTATACAATTTTAGATCTATATATCTATACTTACCTACATTGATTAAATTACCCCCTACCAATATATATATATATATATATATACACACACACTCAAAGCTAAAGATGATTGTAATCATTACCTCAAAGAAAGTTCAAAGGGATCACTGCCACTGAATTTGCCTCAAACAAATGTCCCAGCAGGTGTTATATAATAATAAATTGAGAGTAGACTTTAGAGAGATGATGTTATGTATAAATCGGCGGTTGGTGAGGGTGTTATTTTAATAATGAGTTTGCCTCTGCCGTCAAAACATCCATAGAAGTATTTAAGTAATTATGAAGTTGAATTTTACTTGTAAAATATCAGAAATGTGTGTTTTTTTTTTTTTTTTTTAATTCTTCAATTCTTCTTTTTAATTCTTCAATTCTTCTTTTTAATTCTTCAATTCTTCTTTTTAATTCTTCAATTCTTCTTTTTAATTCTTCAATTCTTCTTTTTAATTCTTCAATTCTTCTTTTTAATTCTTCTTCTTTTTAATTCTTCTTCTTTTTAATTCTTCTTCTTTTTAATTCTTCTTCTTTTTAATTCTTCTTCTTTTTAATTCTTCAATTCTTCTTTTTAATAATTCTTCTTCTTTTTAATAATTCTTCTTCTTTTTAATAATTCTTCTTCTTTTTAATAATTCTTCTTCTTTTTAATAATTCTTTTTACATTAAGTATTAAATAATAATTATTATTTTTCTTTTTTAATTTAATTTTTTTTTTTTTTTTTTTTTTTTTCCCCAAAAAATGATTTGAATTCAGTGACATGCAGAAGTTTGGTGATGCCCGGGGCCAACTCCTTGATTGTATACACCTAAGACTCAAGTTGAGCAGTCTGTAGGGCCTACTACTGAGAAATGTGAAAAAGGAAGACATTTTAAATATGTAAAAATAGATGAAACATAAAATAAACACTTTATTCAAATTAAACATAAACTAAATTTTTATCATGATATGGATCCCCTTCCCCATACTGGACGCTACTGTTTAAATTTGTGATGTAGAAATTTCTTCTACATATGAAAAAAGAAGTCTGTGTGTTTTTTATATGTGGACACTAAAGTCAACACATAGTGCCAACATTCTGTCATGGCCTGAAGATTACATTCAAGCAGGAAGTTGCTGCTACATGGTGTGGATCCCAGTGGCTACTTCTATATCTACACATACTCGATCTGTGATATTGAGCATTTTAATTTTATTTATTTTTACACACACACACACACACACACACACACACACACAGCAATTTTCCAAGCGTAGTTTAAATGTGGCACAAGGCTGAAATTAGGGGGAACCCAGAATGAGGATCGAACACACTACTCAGTCGTAATTGTTCTAGCGAGCCAAGCTTGCTAACCATTACACCGCCTCGAGGTGCCCCAACACACACACACACACATATATATATATATATATATATATATATATATATATATATATATATATAAAATATAGGTTGTATCAAAAATGCTTTTACAAACTGTTCCTAAAAGCAAGGACAAGTCTATATAAACATGTGTGCAAATCCTTTGTTTTTAAGTTCAGTTTAAAGGAAGTTTATGGTAGATGTCACTGTGTTGTCATGTAGACTAGGTTACATGTGTCATTGGTGTACATTTGTGGTAAGTCTGTTTTTGATGTGTAGTAGTGAGTTGACTAAGAAGTGTTCCATTTAATATTAGCAGGATATTCATATCGTGAACAGGCAGATATGATTTTTACTTATGGTCACATGAATGGTAATGGATGCGAGGCTGCACAACTGTATCAAATTGTGTTTCCAGACTGAAGACAGCCGAGTCATCTAATCTTTGCTGCTGTTTATTGACACATTGCTAAGACAGGTTCCATGGCACCATAAACTATGGATCGTGGAAGACCAACATCCACTCTTACATCTGACCATGAAGAACACATTAGTTATCAGCACATCAAGTGGACCTAACATGTTGTACATGTCATAGTACTGTATGGAGGTTACTTCAAGAGCAGCTCCTGTATCCATATCATGTGCAATATGTGTAGGGTCTTTCACCCTCATATCACTTAACATGGGAGAACTTTTGCCGATCCATTGTTTGTCTCTTCAGTCGTGTTTATGGATGAGGCAACCTTTGGAAAGGTGGAATAAATTTACACAGTCAACATTTGTGGGCAGGCTGGAATCCCCATAGTACAATATAGGCTAAACACCAACATCAGTTTATGATTAATGTGTGGGCTGGAATTGTAGCTGACTGTTTGGTAGGTCAATATGTTCTCCCAGCATGTCTTACAGGAGCTGTCTATTCATGACATGCTAGAAGATGTATCCCTGCTAATACAAGATATATGTGGTTCATGTATGATATGTCTCCGGCATATTTTAGTCACATTGTTCGTGATGCACATGTTGACATCGACCATGAATGATGGATAGGTAGTGGATGACCGGTTCCATGGCCTGCACATTCCCCCGACCTCAGTCTTTTCAATTTTTATCTGTGGGGCCACCGAAAACAGTCTGAAAAGACAAACAATGGTTTATGCAGCAGACATTAATAATGCAGATATACTTCATCAACATGTTGTGGAAGTCTGCAAAACCATTCAACACCATGTGGGAGTATTTGAAAGGTTCTGCCAGTCAATGATCTGATGGGTACGTGTGTGTGTGTAGAAGCAAGTTAAGGACATTTGGAGCGCGTGTTATGAGTTGCTATGTTGTGGTACAATGAGG